GGCCCATGGTTTCAACCTTTGAAGGTGGCGAAGCTATACATACCTATGGTTCTATACGTGTTTCCGTTTTGCCCAATATGCCCGAAACCATATCCGGAAACTGCCGGATGAGTTGTTGGAATCATTTGAGATTTTTCCCTCGTTCCTAGCAGGGAGCCGAAGTTCCGGAGTTTAGGTTCAGGGTGTAGTGCTAGGATTAGCGTTAGTACTACAATGAGTAGTAGAAGCAGTGCCGGTGATAGTAAGTGCGACAGTAACAGTATTGATGAAAAGGTGTCTTTAGGAAGCCTTGTGATTACGTGGGCTAATGAAGTGGACGTATTCAGCTGGCTAAAAAGTCGGGGAATAGCAGAATAGCTGGTGCTTTGTATGGAATGAAGACATAGATCCCCGTAGTAGTCGTCATGCAACCTCTACTAGTATTTTCTACCCACCATTCCCTACTAAGCACCATGGAGAAGATGGCAAATTGGGTGCTCCCTCCTGATACGAGCCTAGGGTTTAGGTCACATGGCCGGCGCTCGTCATGTTTGTGCACATGACCAGGGGCCTATTATAGGAGACAGGTAGGAACTGACCCCCCCACTGTTGAGAGAATCTTGATGTCGAGCTAATGGCCCAAAAAGCCAACATGCTGTATCAAATGTTAGTCTTCTGCAGGGGGCTCATGCAGAAATCGGACATCTGGGAAGCTTGTTCCACAGTAGCTTGCTTCCCTGCAGAGGTAGTTCTGAGTATCAGGGAAGCAATTGAGATTAGCTATGTTGGCTGCCTGCAAAAGAGCCCCAAAGAGCACACCTAGACTATGCAGAGATTAAGAATGTCGCCTCGAAAAGATTCCCTATCGTTGGATACTGCCAAATCTATGCCCAGCTACATGGCTTTGGAAGAGTTAGCTTCGAAATCTTGATAACTAGCAAAAACTGTGAACTGTCCGTAGGTTTACAGAGTTTTGAACGTCTGAGACTGTTCCTTCAGACAGCAGGTGCCAAAGGAGACAAACTGCACCACGGTGATCCGTCTCGATGGAGCTGGTCAGGACGTGAGCGGCCAGGACGGGGGCATCTGCCTCAGACTAAGCAAAGGTGAGTATCCATCTGCGTCAGACGTGGCCCATATTTGGAGATATATGGGTGGTTGTCAAAATTATGGTCCCCTTTGTGGGTACCCTGGTGATTAGGTGCCGTATTATAATAGGGATCCAAAAAGGGACCATAATTTTGACAAGCACCCTTTGTAGATGTATCTGCGCATCGCTATTAACCCTACATAATCCTTCTGCTTCAAGCCGCTAGCATTTCAAGTCTAAAGACCCTCGAAACCTTGGTTGACACCTTGGTGCTTACCCTGCCACATCCCTTGTCGACAAAGCTTTCCACTGTCAAACGAGCTTTGATTTATCCCAAAGCAAACCAAGAACAAAGCTATGTTCGAAAGATTGTTATGGAAAAGGTTCCCCCAAATAGACCTCAAATAGATACTGGTAATTAAGTAGGCCCCTAGAGTAAATGAACCTGTTTAAGAAGGACCCTTTAACTAACATATGTCTTTAGTCAGGTCCTGATTTCAGCTGTTGACGTATCCAAAATCACCTTATGCGCTTGCGTCCTGAGGTTTTTGGGTTTGATGGTCTAGGGCTAAGGGTTTAAGACCTTTGGGCGAGTCTCTTTTTCACGCGTACTGGAAAAATTAGGAACAGTCTTACCATTTGACGCAGGATTTGGGAAGGTGACGAAATGTTCACGGGGCCTTTCTGCAATGTTCTCAGGCGCACACGTGATTGTCAGGGACATGCAGGGGCATAGGGGCACCATGATTTGAGGGCTAACTACTTTCTCCCCAGACGTCGGCCCCTACACCCATGGCAGAACGACTTTGCTTCCTGGGAGGATGACTTGCATGGCATCGCGGACAATCAACCGGTGGGATTCCCTGAGTGTCAGGCTGTAGAGCTCCCCTGGAGAAGATTTCCGGTTTTTTGTCTTTCGCTAACCTGGCCTACATGTTTGAGGGGGTCGGTCGGAGTTGAGAATGGAAATGCGTTGCAAGTTCGGAGACGCTCTGCGCGACGTCTCCGGCATTCTGCAGCATGACCAACTCCACAATGGGATGTGAACCTTTGAGTGGCAAGCCCTAAACCCTAAACCCTAAATAGTAGTTTCCATTTTCTTTTCCATTATCCCAATATATCCCTATATAATCCCCTATATAATGTATTTTGTCCCGGTTGCTGCGAGTTGGGCGTTGTCGACCTCTTTAGTTCGCTAACTAGGCAACCTGAAGCGGTCTTGGCATGTCGGTATTAGTAAACGCAAGCCCTGCACAACCCTAAGCCCTGGAGCTCTTGAGGCTTTAATCTGCTGAAGGGTATATTATAGTAGGTTATGGCATATTATAGTATATTATGGCTTATTATGGTATATTATAGTATACTATGGTATATGATAGTATGTTTTGGTATATTATGGCACTTAATCTGCTAAAGCCCAAGCTCATCGCAGTCTGCAGCCTTGGGGCGTGTAAAGCGGACCCCTTCTTGGAAGCATCCAGATAACTTGATGCCCCGCGTGCACAACTGCAACCACAGCAGCTTACCTTCTTCCCATACCTTAGGGTTTAGGGTTAAGGGCTTAGTCTTTAGGGTTTAGGGTCTTCTGGGCTGCTGTTGAGGAAGTTAAAGTTAGTTACCATAACATGGATGTATAGCAAATGCTAGCGTCTCCTTATTGTAGTAACTCTAAACCTTGAACTCTAAGCCCTTCACCCTGCATTATAACGGTATTCTAACTTTCGCTCCTGTCCAGGAACCCAGTCTTAGGAGGCAAATTGCCCCAAGCCTCAGGTGGTTCTGGTCATGCAGACCTGCAGCCACGACGCTCCCTACGGGGAGCATTTCAGAGTTCAGGCCCCCCTCTGCCGGGTTTCTACGGTAGGAACCGCAGCTACTGCCAAATGCACTTATACGTACCCCCTGTTGCGGGTAGTGCGGGGTCCGAAAAGGGGCCCACAAGGTTTGGAAACCCTAGCCCCTATGATGTCCCCATATGTCAACTTCTTTAGCCCCCCTTTAAACGGGACCCCTGAGTTGGGGAAACCGCCCATATATATCCTTGCATCTGAAAAGAGCCTATAGACCTCATTCTAGTTTGTAAGGCCTTTGCAGCAAATCTTGGGGATGCCAGTACTGGGTCTAGGGTTTAGGAATCATCTGGAAGGGTTATATAGGGATCAGTTCATGGAGGGTCGCAGCAAGGATTTTCTCAGAGATCAGAGAGGGATTCTAGAAGGCTTAATAAGGGCATATCGTACTGGTCTTGTGAGGATAATGGAATCGGGTACATCTCATTGGACACGTGATTCTCGACCGGTTTATGCGGTGTTTACTGTAGAAGCCTGAAAAATCGACCAATATAATGGTCCCAGACTCCTTGTAGAGTTATGGTATGGGGTACCTCAAATAGATCCCAAGGTGATATGGGCGATTACTAGGCCCCTAAATTATGGAGACGTACGGGTTATATGAGTGCGTTGAGAACGTATGAGAAAAAGTTATCAAGAACCCAGCATTCACGAGATCCAGGCTTGTGCCCGTGTGGATCCAGAGGTGCGCCATCCGAACCCAGAAGTAAATTCTGCAATCTGAAGGTTTCAAGGAAGAATTCATGTGAGACTCTGCTGCAGGCTCCAAACTCTCAATCCTTAACTCAGATTGTCAATCCTTAAGCCAGGAACCCCAATCCCTAAACCTAAACCTCAAGCCCGAACCCCTAAACCCTAGACCTTAACCCCCTAAAACCTAAAACCCCTAAAGCCTAGAACCCTGTTATCCCGAATTCTCAGGCACCTAAGCCTCAATTCCAGCCCCCAGGAGACACTCCGGTTTGTCCGCACGGACGGCGGCGTGGAACTGCAACGAGACTGGTCTGCATAGAATCCTGTGAGCTATAGTCTAAACTCCTAAAAGGGGATTATATAGGGGAGGACCATAGGGGTTCTTAAGGAGGATGCTAGGAGTTTAGACTATGGCTCATGTGGTTGGGTTTCAGGATTTTGGGTCTAGGCTGTCGTTATATGGCGCTTTATAGGGGTTAGGTCTGCAATAGAGGTATACTTGTACATGTGGATTAAAAGTTATTGGGTGTAGTGTTTGGGGTCTGGGATTCAGGATTGAGTTAAGACTTCAGGATTTGGGGACTTACAGGCCGGCGCTTGATGGGCAGTGGGGGGCTGGAAAAGAACATGGAAAGGGCTGTGTTGATGGCGGTTCAGGATTTTGGCCTGGGGTTTAGGAGTTTGGACAACGGGTGCCCGGTGAGGGTAGCGTGTGCTGTAGGTATTAACAATTGTACAACATTCACGCAGGAAATGCGGTGCCCTTCGCAATGATTAAGCTGCGCCTGAGGTAAGGGTTCTTGAACTTGAAGTAACAACTTGTAACGGCTGCGGCATTGCTGAAGATACTATTCTGCAATAAGGTCAAATGCTTCTGAAGGACCCCACTGTTCCTTTGTTCAGGCTCCTCATCTAGCAGGTCACTGCACTGCAGGTACGGTTCGTTAACAGTGGATTTTCAGCGAGATTCACAGAATCTGCGGCAACGGCCAACTTGAAGGCAGAAACGTTTAGGGGCTGTTCAAAATCCCATCAAAAAAGCGCGTTGCACATGACCTGATCATGGCCATGCCAACTACTCAGGAGAGACTGGTCAAGTTTTCGTTTCCTCGGAAGTGATGGTTTCTAGTCATCAGCCAGCGATCAGCCAATGGTTAGCCTGTTCGTCGAGCAAGCAGTTTCAGCAACTGTCGTTGTTGCTGCCGACACCGCCATTAGTGCCAATGTTATCGGTTATGCCTACGCTGTCATTACTCATACCAATTCCGCTTTGCTTTTTCCGGGAGTGCTGCAGCAGTGTCTGCTGAGGTTGGGTGGAGGTGATCTGGGTGAAGGCCCTGTCTCCTTGAACCTTTGTGCCAGGGGTATACGAGGTGGGGTTTACGCTAGGGTTTGCTTGAAGCATGTGGAATAGAAACTGTCAGGGGATGTAAACTCGTCAAGCATGTTGGAGAAGGGTTCTAAGCCTTCCGTTCTTTAGCATAGGAGTTTTTCAGGCTTCAGGGTTCTGGGCTTTTTCGAGCCTGCTGCAGGCAAGGAAACGTTTTAGGGTTTAGGGTCGTGATCCCTGCAGACATGCGTGTCAAGTAGCGATGCGGCCTCATAAGGTGTTCATCAACGTCCCTCCTCGCCTGAATTCTGCGAGGGGGGGTCGGGTAGCGCTTCCGAAACATTCCTCCCAAACCAGGACCGGGATTTTCAAGGCAGCGCTTCCCTCATGAACAATCTATCCTGTTTATCTCGGGGAGACTTTAGATTGTCATTGTCAGGAGGAGCAGATAACCCTTAAACTTCCGTGGGGCAGAGCACTTTCTTGCTACAGCTCGGGTCCTCGCAAGTCTCACGAGAAGAAAGACAATCCCGACCACCACGCGCAGCGCACCTCCACACAAAAACTCAAGGCACCATAAGCTCAAAGCCTGGAAGAAAATGGCTCTCAGAAAAGACCATATTGTTTAATATGTGGCTTTTCAATTCTTCCTGTTCCCTTTGGATCTTTCTTGATCATATACAAAATTCAAAAAGGTTGGCCTCGGTCTCAGATTAGGACGAGGTGCTAATGCCAGGGACTTGTTGACCAGTAGACATTTCAGGAAGATGTGGTTCGTAGATAGATGCTCTGGAGGCGCATGATTACATGGTGTATTTGGAATATTTCGGAAGGAGACCCCAAAACCATCAGTGAGATTTGGCTCAAACTCCGCAAGGCGCAACACAGGCAGTCCCTCACAGAATCCCCAGCAATGCCATTCCCCGAAGATTTGCGCGCCTCCTTCTCCTCCCCTCATATCCTGTATTCCTCCTTCAAGATTGTGCAGGACATAGTCACTTCTCCAAATTTGGAGGGTAGAGGAAGTAGTATGCCACTCCGCAATCTCAATGAAATATGGTGATCCAGCAGGCCATAGGCTGCGCATGAGAGCTAAGCTCTCATAGAGACTTAGAGAGTTGCGCTTAGTAAAGACTCCGACAGCGGTGAATCTGAAAGCTCTGCTGAGAAGAGCCTGACGTTCATGTGGTGCCTAGGCCCGTGCCACTATGATGAGAAGTTGACATAGCTATCCATATCAATGTCTGTAGCCACTATCCACCGCTGCTTTTGCCAATCCCTCGCCCTTGACATTGATGTAGACGTACATGTATACACCTGTATGCCCATCTGCCTAGACCCTCAACTTACCCTTTTAAAAGGCCTACGTCCTAACTTATAGAGATGCTATAATTGGGGCGCTTGCTGGGAGGGCCTTGGTACGTCAATATGCTCCCCGTAAGAACAGATCTTGACTTCTAGCTTCAGCGATGCGCTGCCGTCGAAATATCACATTTCTTGCCGGGATTGCTGCAGGGGCGTTCCTGTTGAAGCTGGGCCATTTACTTTGTATTCGGGTTATTCTCAAAATTATGGGCCCCTTTGGATTATGATTATATTACGGCACCTAGTATCTAGGGGCACCAAGATGGGACCCTAATTTTGCAAGCTACCCATGTATTTAAAGTCCCAGGTCTTAGCTTTGTTCAAAATCAGGGTTCCATTTCTTCTTTGAGATTTCCAGGATCAGGTGTCCCCATGTGCGCATTTTTTATATGGGAGTTTTTTCTTGATACTTGTCCAAAGCACAGTCCGTTATCTCGGGTGCCGAATAGAAGGTTTCCGGACAATTGGAGGGAACATGGCGGCACCACATTTCGACAGCTATTTGATAGTTCTTGATGATGCTGGAATCGCAACTTGGATGTGGAGCCCGATGATGCCGCTGTAGACTCGCATTCGTAGGCTCGCATTCCGGAGAGTTTGTGCGCCCAAGCCCTGCGGCTGCCCCCTACACGTGACTTAAAATTCACAATACGATCCCTACATCACCCTGTGGTAGTTGCTGACCTAGGACAGTCGAAGACCTTCAGCTGGGCTTCGCTCGTCCCTCCGTCATGACGAAGAGACCCGAGCTGCCCGATGACCTAAGGCCAACGAGCTTGGGCTGCAAAAGGCTAAGGGGTGAAGGGGTTTAGGGTTCAGGGTTTGGGGATGCTTCGGTGCGGGTTTTGGGGATGTAGGGGTTGGTAGTTACTTGTAGGGGGGTTGCAGGGTTTGCTGACTGAGGTGTGTGAGGTACAGGTCATGAACTCGGGCGTTGGAGGTTTGGGGAATTGCTTCGCAATCTTGTAGCAACCATGCAGCGATGTGGGGATCAGACTTTGGGTGTATAATATGGGGGTTTCCCAAAATTGGGGGTACCTTTTTGCAGGTCCCTATAATAGGGACTATAGTACTTTGGGGGCTATAATGGGGGCCCCTATTTTGACAACCACCCATATATTTCATGATCAAGGCATGAAGATTTGTTTTCCAGCATTGGGCTGAAAGGTCTCAGCCGCTTCAGTCAGCGCTAATGGATCTATGGGTATACAGTACCCTAAACCCTAAACCCTGAGAGAAAAGGTCCGAGAAAAAAAA